GCTCCTCACTCCCCATCCACAGCCCCCTGGACCTGCTGGTGTCCCTTGCCCCCCACCCTCCCCTGCCCTGCTGGAGGGGGCCCCCAGCTGCCAGGGCTACAGGCCAGGGACCTAGGTGCACAGTTCCTTGCCCCCTATAGCTGCATCCAAGCCCTGGCTGTTGCCAGCAGGAGGTGGAAGATGGTGTGGCAGAGCAGAGTGCGGATCCTGGCTCCCCCTCCCCCTCCCCCATGGGTATCATGGATGGAGCAGAGCCTGTTAGAGGAACAGGTGCATGCTGCCCACTGTGGGCTCGAGCTCCCCACCCTGCTGCCCTCCCTCCAGGGCCTCTGCAACCCAGCAGGTGGGCCCCAGCATGGCAGGGCAGAGTGGGGCTGGGTGGGGAAGCTCATTGCTTGTGCAAGCTCCATACTGCCATGACAAGGTGCCCTCTGCCCACCCAGCAGCAGCGAGGGGCACAATTCCACCCCATTGCCCCTGCTGCTGCTGGGTGGGCAAGGGGCACCTTGCTATGGTGGCGTGGGGCCTGTGGTGGCAGCACTGCACTTATTCCCTGGGTAGGAAGGCAGCAGGGCATGGAGCCCAAGCCTACCGCTGCCAGCCTGCCCCCACCCCATACACAAATCGGAGTGCATGTAGCGACAGAAAGCCAGTCCCCACTGCTGCCCCCAGCTCTGCCCTACTCCCTGTCCAGCTAGGCAGAAACCCTAGCACTGTTCAACCCCCTCCCTCCCTTACAATGGGAGCCTCAATTCCACCCACCTCTCCGCCCCCCACCAGATTGACCTGCGGGAGCTGCGCTCCAGGTTGCTGGGCAGCCATGCGTGTGTACGTGCACACGGCGCCCCCTGCCCAACCGCCATCCTCCTGCTCCCCCCAGCCTCTTGCAGGCTGCAACTCTTTCAGCCTGTGACGGGAAGCTCACCATTTCCCACATTTTTCTCCTTTAAAGAAGAAAATCCAGGTTTTTCTCCTTAAAATGAGAAAATCCAGGTTTTACCATGTTTTTTCTTGGTGAATGGAAAATCTGGATGCCTGCTCATAAGGCATCACTGACAGGGGAACAGATAACTAGAGGAACAGCTGATGGCATTTTATCCATATTTGTATATTATCACACAAACAACTATTGTGCTTTTTCTCTTTAAAAAGAGTACAATACAGGAAAGTGGTGGTTTGCTACTGAGAGTCCTGTGTGTGTGAATGTCAGGAGTGACTTAGGTCAATACTAAGACAAATCCCGCTGTGGCTTGTTATAATTTTCTTCAGATGAACTGGAATGGATCTTTTGGTTTCCAAGACCAAATCAATCTCTGAGGATCCTTTGGTGGTAATGTCATGGAGATGAGATTTTCAGAAGCATTGGCTTCCAGCTTAATTCTAGTCTGATTAAGTCAGTCACTAGCAGCAATAGGAATAGTTAATTAATAACATAACCCCTGTTCATTGTGGTCACTCTTTACATCAATAATCTAATAAATGCAAATTACTAGTGTTAATTGATACTTATCATTTACAAAGATATTCTTTATTTTCAGTCACTTTGGGGGAAAATGTTAACATTTCTATTTAAAAAATATGAATATCAGTAAGATGTTATACAGTACATTTTATAATCGTTTCCATAAGAATTTAGTGCAGCATGTTCTGGTACTAAATATAGTATTTTTTTTTAGCAGGAGTTTGGTTTGTTGTTTTAGACCCAGCTGTTCAGTTACTGAACAATAACAGAAAGAGATACTAGAGCTGTTTTTATGCTGATTTTTTTTAAGGCCATATTCTTATGTAGCTCTCCATGCATGTGTGTTATGCATGAATAAATTACTAAGAATGGAGCTAATAAGGTACATAGTGTAGAAACTGGCAGCTTTGTCACCGATCATGCAATGAGCTGTGGGAAAGAGGGGCTGAATTGTCTTTGTTTAGCCCCATTGCTTTAGTGAGGCAGCACGGGGTTCTACCAATGCACAATTCCCTACATGGTTAAGGCCTATAAAGGATGAGGAAACTCAGAAAAGAAGATGCTCCAACAAAAGAAGCTAAATGTTGCCTTGTCTCCAAAAACAGGAGTAGGACAGAAATAAAGTTGATAAATTTGAGTGAGCTGTTATTTTTGTTAGAGGGTAGGTAGTGATGAATGTATGCTGTCAAGGCAGTCTCCTTTTTAGAAATGAGGACCACGTGAAATCAGTCATAAAATGCAGAAATCCTAAGCCCTCCTAATTCATATATGCATGTTGATAAGTCAGAATAACCAGGGGGCAGGAGAAAGCCCTATATCTGACCCATACCTACCATTTATGGTAGATTTATACAAATGGTATGTTCCAGACCCTGTTATAAAAACAGTTAAAACCTGTTTGGCCTTTCTTGTGTATGCTAGAGAGAATCCAGTTATAAGCATGATACCTGACTCCTAAAAGGTATGTAGCATGATTTAAGAAAATAATTTAAACATACTTCAATCCATTTTACATAGATAAGACACCAATATGTGTATTAATTCTGTTAGGTTACTGCTGGGTCTGAGAACATAGTGGTTGTGTTTAATGGATATGATACTATGGATAATCAAAACTTGGAGTTTTCATTTCACAGGGAATTTTTTTTTTTGACATTTTGAATTGGAACAAACACTTTTTAAATTAAAGCTTTCTTCTGAATTTGTTTCCTGGTAACATTCATTGTAGAAAATTGAAATAAAAAATAGACCATGTTAACTACTGAAGACAGCTACTACTTATTTTGATCTAAAAAAGATAAGTTCTAATCAAAACTCTGTTCTCTTTGTAATGAAATCGTCTAAAAAAGATGTTCCAATTAATACTAACCAGCAACTGCCTTTAATAATTTTAAAAAATATTAGACTGTTACAATTATACACCAGTATCTATTACTGATATGCCACAAAATAATGTAAAAAAACATTTTTTTTTACATTTTGAAATTTGTTTCAAGTTTGATTGCCTCTTTTAACTTTAGAATATTCTAAAAAAAAGATTTTTTTCTAAATGAATTTTGCATTTCCAAATGGTTTTCCTACAGGTATTCTGATTGATAACAGTGTAATAAATTCTGCTAGACAAAACTGTCTTTTTTTTTCCTGATGGAAAAATTGTTCCAGTGAAAGAGTTCCAATCAGATCTGTAGCAACTATTTCAAGGTATGCACCAAGTAAAAATTTAAGTTTGGAACATGGTCTTCATGATCTCATCTCTATGGACAAAGTGTGCAAGACTGGACACAGGTTTGGGTAAGACCAGAGGTAACTTTTATAAGGTAATACAATAATACACTGGGCTAACGTTTCATTTACAATTAAGTATTTTAAAAAAAAATCATAAGGCCTACTTTTTTCTATCTGTACCCTTTTGAAATCTTAAGGCTGTGTCATTATAATAATATTGTATTAAAATTTTTCTAACTTTCTTAAATACAAAGATGACATTTTGTCAAATGTAAAAATGTTGATGATAGCACTGATTATTAAAGCTTTCCTTTACAAAAAGGTAACCCAAACCAAACAGAGAAATTTGCCACAGTTATTAATTTATCATATGCACAATGGATAACCAAAGAATGTCCAATATTCTGACAAATACCAGTTTCAGCTTTCAAAATTATGTATTTTGTCATTTATTTTCTAAGCAGTCTGGCAAGGACTTTGTACAAATGCAAGACTCAATGTTCTGAATTCATTTGTTCATTCTTCTTAGTGCAACATTAAAGCAGGCAACTCACTGAGTTGCTTATGTTGTCTAGATCAGAGAATCATAAGGTTAGAAGGGACCTCAACACCTGACAATCATTCTACTCAATGACAATGGCTGCTACTATCAGCACAAGCTTTGGCCCATCCTACTGATTTTTGTCAAATTCAAGATCAGCTCATCAGTTCCCAGGGAGATCACTGAGAATTGACAGTGAGCTAGGCCTGACAGAACTGGACTTTCTTGGCTCCACTTATCAGCTAATAGACATTTGTGTAATACTACTGAAACTTACTGAGTTACCAATTCACATCAGCTGAGGATCTAGTCTCTTGCTTGCAGTCTTCTTATAATATAAAAATTGCACTATTATTTAGAGAAAAAGGGACTGTCTGGAAATCATCAAATCACTATTGATTTATCAATGGACACACACGGATGGTCAAAAACAAGTTGTGCTCACATATACTGTAGTTTAGGCTGAGAGCACAGCTGCCATTTACCTTGCAACTAAAATCTAAATATTAAAAACATAAATATGTTAACCATATACATTTACACAAAACAGAAGTAGTAATATTACAGAGATGTAGTGTCTACTCTATGTAAACTACCTATTGTTAATATGGATACAGTATCAGAATAAATGATACTTGATATGTAACAAACCCTTCTTTAAAAACCAATGGCAGTAAAATAGCCAGAGTTCATATCCAGGCCTCAGTTAAATTCAAATTATGAAGTCAAATCAATTGAATGGTATATTGCTGAAATAGCAGCACTATGGGGAAATACAGAATGGCAGCTATTACCATTGTTGTCTGAGCTGGTGGTATCTTTCAGTAGTATTTGGGCACGTCTACCCCATCATTACTGTGCATTTAGTTTAGTACTTCTTTAATAAAGTACTAAACTAAATGTGCAATACCTAAAAGTTACTGTGCAGTAGCACCGGTGCATGGTTATTTAGTGACACTTAATGTGCATTAGCCTAATAATAACTGCACAGTAGACTATCAGCACAGTTTTTGCCATGACATGCTACTTCAGCGTTATTAGGCCAATATGCAGTAAGTGTCTCATGTAAATATACCCTTTAACTACAATTTGCCCCTTTAATGGGGTATAAGAAGTGTGGGGAGAAGACTTTCAATATGATCATCCTGTAGGCATGGAATGATCAGGAAAGGTTAACAGTAGCATCCAATACTGGCTTGGAGTTTGTGTCCTTAGACATTTATATCAGTGGAAGTTCACTAGGATTGCACAAAATAAGCAAACAAGAAGTGGTCACTCTTTAAATATTTCTCCTTTTTGCCCAAAGGATTGGGGGAGGGGGGTTACACACTTGATGGGAGTAGGATTAAGGGGAAAGGGGAGATTAACAGATGTTCTTTGCCAGTCTACTTGCATTGCTAATGTCTTTCAGAGCAGTGGCCTTTCTTTAAGCTCACATCATCCAGTCCAATGTCGCCAGTTCTCCCTTTTCCTTTTTCACCTTTGAAAATAACCTGGGGAAAAGATGAAGTCTGAATTAATAAAACTTGTGATGAGAATGGCTATGTGTTCAGAAAGGTCCCAGTCATAACATAACAAGAGCACGGCATGAAGGAACTCAGGCATGTCTCTGTTTTGGATCATTAAAGTGCATTTATGAATTCATCACTTTCTAAATGAGCTGTAGATCTGTGGATTCACATTTTGTTTTGTTTTGCTTTATTTTCAATTTCTTTGATCGCTTTGCAGTCCTTTGTATTTTCATATTCCTGCCAGACGCATATAAAGGGTGGAAATATCTAGTAGGCAGTTGTCAGACTGGGAATGGGGGCATCTCTTGCTAATGATCTTTCCATACAGATTTAAATGATTCCATTCACTGCTAAGATAGCCCACTTAGCTTCCTTCATCACAGAGGTAAGTTCTAGGCTGCATGTTGGGAACATGGGACTCATTGTGAGCATATGTTACTGTGAACACTTCCCTAAGTAGGACATCTATGTGCCCTTTTCACTCCAAGAGCAGATGGCAGTCTAGGCCTGACACCAGGCCACTGAGACTGCTCTCTGTTTGGTTCCCCATGATATAATATTTCATTGTACTGGGTGAAGTGGTCCCTAGCTTAAAACTACAGTTTGATAACTGCTTTGCTGCAAGTGGGGCTGCCTGGGCTTGAGGGGAAGAAGTGAGGCAGGGAGAGAGCCAGAGAGGAAGAAGGTGCCAGGGTGGGTACAGTAAAGTCTGAGTGAGGAAAGGGGGAACTGGAATGGCCCAATAAAGACTGTTTGTTTCTCAACAGTTTGCTGTGTGGTTGGAGACAACTGGTACTCCAATATCCCTTTTCTTTAAAAGAAAAAACACTCCCTCCTTCCCAGGAGCTGACTAAAAAGGAGCCACAGATCACTGGGGAGGCAAGGGACTGAAAAGAGCTGGATCTCAAAGACAGGGGCCTCCCCCTTGTGAAGCCATGCTAGGGCTAGCTGCAGGGTCCCCCTGAGGAGAGGGAGACCGAATAAAGCTGCTTTTTGGGGAGTCCCAAGAACGAACTTTCCCCTCTCCCTTGAATGGGGCATTTGATCCTTGCATGACAACCTCTAAATGTAATGTTGTTTTCAAAACATATCAAACTATCACAAGTTTTGTTTGAACACACTTTCTAAGGGAAGTTTTCATTTTCAAACAGACACTGCAAATTGCTCAGTGTGCACACTAGATAGTTCTGGCTTGTAGAAATGATACTGTCTGAATAAAAATGGTCTGTGATATGACCAAGCAAATGGTTTTTGGCTTGGATGTCAAAACATACTCAAACTAAGCTTTATATGTAAAAATTTATATAGTTGAGGGGGAAAGCTCAGTGGTCAAGTGGAATGAAAAGTGAGAGAACCACAGTGGAAATGTGCTATAGATGGCTCCTCAAAAGCAAATTAGTTGAGCCAGCTTTATATCGGTTTTAATCAATCCACAATCATCAAGTTTCCTCACCCATGCTGCTGCGTATTCAAAAGACCAAGCTGTTTGCTTTAACATGAGCAAATGTTATTTTTGTTCATAACTTGAAAATTAATTCAAACATTCCAGCTAGGTTCTCTCATTACAGTCAGAGGAGCCTGACACATGCCTACCCCTAAAAGAACAGAGGAAGCACTCAGTGACTGCCAAAATTGGAGTTGAACTAAACTGATGTAGGGAAATCAGTAGTCATTTAAAAAAAAGATAGATTGCTATCTTGAAATCCAGTTTGGCTTATGTTTATTAAGCTTGGTTTGTCTGTGACCGATGGGCTCTCTTAGTTGTGGTAGCTCAGATCTTTAAAAGTATTCTGACAAGACTACGGAAAAGCAGAGGATAAAGGGATGGAGTATGCATTTATAACCCATCTTCTAAGAGGGACTATACCTGGTTTACAAGTTTTAGTGACTGCTATTACTATTACTTTTATCTGTTTTTAATTGTAGGTGTTTTTACACGGATGGTGTAGGGGGAAACTAATGCAGGAGTCCAAATGATCTCTCCTATTACTCCAGGGCCAAATATAAATTCAATTGATTTCTAAATAAAATCAACTATAGGCTGGCACTGAACCAGTGCTCCACCTCCTAGTCCCCTCATTTTACTATACTAGAACAGCTTAACTAACTGTACTTACGCTCTTGATGCCTGAGCCTTGTAAAGTTAAGTGTGTTTGTCTCCAACCATGGCCACCATTTCTTCCCCAGACTGCTGGTCCGTGAGTACCATTTTTTCTTACAAATAGTTGGAGTGTACCAGGATGTAGCCCAGATACTTTGTGTCTAAAGGACAGACACAAGTCCCCTGAATGAGCCAACTGGCCAAGAGACAGGACCAGACGTGCTACTCTTCCCTCTTTGCCCTTGGATTCAGAGACTATAAGATACCGTCCACCTGCAAGAGAAAAAGAAGTTCTTTCAAAATGGTTTAATGCAGGGGTGGGCAAGATACGGCCAGTGAGGCCATTCTATCCAGCCTGTGGGGCACCTAAAAAATGTAGAAAATTAATATTTCTCTGCCCTTGGTTCCTGTCAAAAATGCAGGAATCAAGGGCAGTAGGACCCAGGGGAAGCCCAGCAGGCTCCAACAACAGCGGTGCCAGCCCAGCCCCACCCTGCCCCCCAGCTGGAAGCCCCAGCTGGGGCTTCTGGCCTAGGACCACATGGCTGCCCCATGCAGGAACCACAGGTAAGTGAGGGAAGAAGGGTGGAGGGAACCCCAGGCAGGGAAGGAGCATGGGGGGGGTGCAGAAGCTACCGCTTCCCTGTCCCATGGCCGGTGCCCCATGCTGCAGCTGCTTGCAGCCCGCACGGGGCTGCCTGTGCCTGCTCCGGACAGCCCTGTGCGGGCTGCAAAGGGCTGCAGCAGGGAGTGCCAGCCATGGGGCAGGGAAGGAGTCATGTTTCCCCCCCATGCTCAGCTTTTCCCTGGGCTCCCCTGCACAGAGAAAAGCTGCCCCTTGCCCACGCCATGGTTGGTGCTCCCTGCTGCAGCCGCTCACAGCCCACACAGGGCTGTTCGGAGCAGGCACAGGCAGCCCCAGGCCAGCTGTGAGCAGCTTCAGCATGGGGCAATGGGAATGGGGTGAGCGAGGGGCTGCTTTTCACCACCCCCCTGCGCTCAGCACCACCTTATAACCTGGCCCCACTGCCAGGCTGGCAGTGGGGCTGGGTTACAAGCTGGTGCTGAGCATGGGGAAGAGCGGCCCCTTGCTCGCCGTGTGGCTAGTGCCCTGCACTGCAGCTGCTTGAAGCCCACCTGGGACTGCCTGTGTCTGCTCCAGCCAGCTCCGCGCGGGCTGTGAGCACCAGCCATGGGGTGAGCAAGGGGTCGCTTTTCCCCACGCTCAGCACCGGCATCTTCCCTGCCAGCAAGCAGGGGGTCAGGGGTGTGTGCTCCGCAGGGCTGGGGGGGCACTGGGTATGAGCGGGCGGGGAGCCAGTGAGAGCACAGGGCCTGCACCAGTGCCCCAGGGTCAGTGCTAGCAGGGCCCAGAGCAGGGTGGCAGGAGCACGGGGTCCCAGCTGGCAGGGGCTCTATGGAGCCAGGCCAGCTCCCCCCTCTTCCTGCTGGTGCAGCCCAGCCTGGCTCCACAGACCTCTGCCAGCCTGCACCCCGCTTTGGGCCCTGCCAGTGCTGGCCCTGGGACATTGGTCCCAAGATGGTGACCAGGGGGCAGGGCACCCATCAAGGGGCAGGGCTACCCACACAGCCCTCAGCTGCTTGCCAAAACTGGGTAAGTGGCCCTATAACGAAGTTATAGGGGCTTAACTCTCACCTAAGCTCTGTCATGATCTCAACTAGTATGATGTGGCACCTAAAGTCCCCTATTATTTGGGTGGGGACAGAGCACACTGTACAAATCCATACAGCTTCATGCAAAACACAATTGCTGCTGTAGTGTAACAACACATCTTTTCCCCCCATTATCCTAAAAGTAATGGCACCTGCCTAGGAACTCATGGTGAGGACAGCCAAGAACTCTGGTCTCTACAGTGATTCAAGCAGATTATCTCCAGCTTCCCAGAAAAGTGGCCTCACCAAGTTGTGGGTTAGACCGGACAAGCACCCCTTTTGTGACTCCCGTTGCAGCTGGCTCCCTTGGAAGCCAAGAGTAGAGAATTCATGGGGCCAGAACAAGAGCAAGCAATAGGGAGCCTGATGCTGTAACCTACTGGTTATGGCAGTCCCTTGAGGAGGGAGCCCAGTGTTTTGGTCTCTACTGCAAGCGTTATTTCTGCATTTAAACCACCTTACTGATCCTGAGTCAGTCCATCTTGCTCCCTCTACTGCTTATGTTAGACAGTTGCTGAACATATGAACTTCATTCAGAAGCCTAGTCATATTCCCACTGCTTTAGGGAGCGATACCTACATAAAAATATTGGTTAATAAATAGAAAGCAGAGGTCCCTGTGGCAGTGCAAAGCCAAAATCAAAAACATATGTAATCCCCAATAAATTCTTCCACTGAGTCTTTCATGTTGGCATTTAAAGCTATGAAGAGAAAACGATGATAAATGAAACTTCACAGCTTACAAAAACCCTTTGACCAAACTAAGAAGGTATTAAAAAAATATTTCAAAGGTAAATGTTGGAATGGGACCCTAGAGGACACAGACTGATCTTGCAAATCTCAATTGACGAGGAACATGGGGATATAAGAGGTTAAAAATATCCAGCTGAGAACTCCATGTGTTCTAAACCAAAAACTAACAGCTTTCACCAGCAAACTGTCAAAATCAAAATTCACTGTAAGGGTCTTAACATTAATTAGGTTATAAAGGTCACATGAAATCTCAGCTATTCAAGTGAGCCTGGAAATATTTTTCCATTTTGCAGAGATATACAGCATTTAGCTAATTCTAAAAAAAAAAAAAAAA